TAGGTATATTATATTGTATAAAACCATTTCCCACCTTCTTCCACGAATCAGTGATTGGTGGCAAAAGCTTGACATAGCTACTAGTATGACTATCTAATGGATACGACAAGACCGATTTCTAAATAAAACTCACATCCGTGTAGGAAACATATATACTCCTATTAAGCTTTTCTACCATTATTTTGCTTTCCCTTGTGTTTCTTTATAACGCATCTGTGCTTGTACGTCTTTTTAATCTTCTATCTAGCAATTGCATATACATTCGATATCATCATCCTGTACGAGCATCAACTAAGGGAAAATAAATGGCCGCGGCATTATCCGACGACGGCATCCTATTTCCAACTAGACAGGCAATTCTGACCGCACCCAGCGGCTCATATTTTTCGAAAAAACACCGGGAAAAAACGGCGCGGAGACGAAAACCACATGTTTCATGGAAATGATGTTTGTCGTATATCAACGCTTCGTATCTGGAACGCAATTTGTTTGGTTTACATGTAATTGAATGCTGCTCTGATACAGTCCAGGACCGTCCCCATAGTTCGCTGAAGATATACAGAATGTGTTGAAAATTTGAAATAAGATCCAGTATTGTTCACGCAGACTAAACAGAAAATGGGAATTGAAATGTCTTTGTACTAATTGTTGTATATGAATGATTTGGGAAAAAGGCATTTATAACACAGGTCCACAAAATAAAAATGTGATGTGTACTGGGGGTCGTAATTATATTTGCTAAACCAGAATCTGAAGTCAGAATGGGCAATCGCTGGAGAAACAAGAAAGTAATTTATACGTTAATATCATATATTTTGGTATTTTTGGAGAATGTGCATGTCTTCAGAGATCTCTGATTTTTTTGTGGACCTATATTATTTTTTTCGTATTCATGCATTTTTTCTAAAACTTTTCCAGCAACCCCCAATACTGACTTCAGATTCGTGTTCAGCGGGAAAATACAGGAAAAAAATATAGTGGGGGACCCCCAGCACACACCTTTTCTATTTTGCTGGCCTGTGAATTTTTGTGAAGTGTATGTGAATGTATGTATTGAAAAAGAAAAAAATTATCGCGCTCAAAACGTCTTTTGTAACACATGAATTTTGCAATTCAAAGAGAAACGGTTATTATAATAGGAAAAAGTCAAGTCAAAGAGCTCTGCATTCTTAGTCCATAAACATTCTCTCCCTGCCTTATCGGTAGTGCATCTGGCTCTCCGGGATACCTAACCCGGTCTCCAGTCAGATGCGGCGTAGTATCGAGAGCAGAAGCAGATGCGGCCAATATGTATGCAATACGTCTGCTGAAAATATTTTTAGTTTTAAGGGCAAATGTCCGCGGAAACCAATGAATGATGTGTGAAATATATCTTAAAGGTGCATCGAATTACCAAGGTTGGGGGCGTATAAATAAACTTACATATAAACCCCCACTACAACCCCCACCCCCAAATTTTTCACTCATACATTTTTATTCGAAAATGATGATCCTCTGAGACGTCAAAATCCGAAGTTTAGGCGATTCTTACTTTTTTCTTATTTGTAAAGTTGTGTACTTTTTAAGTTATCACAGTTCAAGGATTAACGGACTGACCGAGAGACAGGCAGACCAACGGAAATTAGTAACATGCTTTTCCGTGGTGTAGGTACATTATAACATTCAAAAAACATAATATCTCATTTTCGGAATTTTTCTCAATTACACTACTACCTCGTCGGCAAATTTTAATGTTGCCAAAGTTCCCAAATATTTTTCAAACATCCATTAACAAGGTTACAAAGCGGATTGGCGGTATTGTTATTGTAAACATTTGTTCTTTAATTTGTTAAACACACGCTCTCAATGTATATATACTCTTCGTGAGCGCAAAAAAGAAACAGCATAGGCTGTCGTGTGACAAAGTACCTAGTAAGTAGTTTTTTAACAGTTTCAGGAAATAGCAAACTTCTGATAAAAATTAAGCTTTCATACATTTTAAGTTATATAAATTATCAAAAAAATTTTTAGATTTAATAATCTTAACTCAGTAGCAGTGAACGTAAAAATAGCAAATCTACTTGCTAATCAAAAAAACAAACATTTGAATGAAAATCAAATGAATATAAAACAACTCAAATACTAAACGTCTAGTGCAACACATCAGTCTTTGGAATTGTCATTTGATGGCAGAATGATCCAAAACAGTGTTATTCTTTCGTTGTTAAAGGATGGTATTAAACTTTTCAAATGATTTCCTTTTTTCAGATATTTTTCTGATGGTGTGCCTAAAAGTTTCAGTTCAAACTATTTTTTTTTTAAATTCAACTTTCCTAGAGGCACTGTCAGTGTGACTTACTTTATAAAATAAATGTTTACAACATATGCGAAACTGAGCGAGTTTCATCTACTTTGTTTACGTTCGCTTTGAGAAGGAAAACAATGAAAATTATTTCAGGATTGTTAAATGATATTAAACACTGTTAAATTCGCAGACATAAATGAAAGGCCTTGTTAAAAATATTCCAATGCTGTCTCTTCTTCTGTGTTAGTGGATATTCGTAAGTAATATCATAAGGGCATCTAATTTTTTCCGAAAAAATCGAAAAAACACCTTGCGGTAATATTTAACAAGAAGCATGAGTGCTGGTGGCAAAAAAATCCGAGTCGAAGACGACGATTTTTGCATCTGCACGAATGTTTTTTGCTAAAAAAATATTACTTTGCATTGTTGTTTCGATTTTTTTCACAGGAAAAAATTAGATGCCCGAATGGTATTTGACATGAATATTTCATGAGTACCTAACAGGTTATTCTGCTTACAAAACATACTACATATTATACATGGCTTTTTGGTGCCGCGGGTAAACTCAAAAAAACTGCCGATAGGTGCTGTCACAATTTTTCCATCTAGAAACCACTTGTAATTCAAAATTGCACGTTTCGGATTGGTAGAAATCAAGACGAGGGAAATAGTCATATAAAATGATTTAAAAGCTCAACACGATTATCGGCTACCTACGCTCTATGCCAGGTGAAACACTACTGAAGACCGCGCTAGCTGCTACACCTACAACTTACCAACTGCCTAAAAGTAACGCCATAAAGCTAAGGAAAAACTAGCAAGTACATTTATTAAGTGCTATCCTATTCACTTATGAAACATGAGAAAAACATACGATTCATAGCGCGTTTAGGTGACAGAATAAATTTCAAGAAGGCAACTTCTACGGACCATCCAAAAATGACAAAGTTCTAAATTCTAGTTAGCGAGCATCTCTCTTGGAGTCACACAGAGTATTTGATCGCACACTTGATTAAAAGTTAAAAAACAAAGGTTTACAATAACAATACCTAAAGCGCTTTGTAATCTTGCTAATGGATGTTTGAAGAATATTTCGACACTTTGCCAACGTTAAAATATTGTTTTTTATAACTGAAATATTATTGAATCGCTTTTGTACCTGGAAAACTATCAACTGTAGAAAAAAGTTCATAAGAAACTTTTTTTTGTTCATAATGAAAAAACGACGGATTTCAATAAAAAAAAATTAACCTTGATATTAGGATTTCACTGGCTACACGTTAAACGGCTCGACTCTAGATTACTCTTAGTAGCACAATCAAATCTTCGTTCTTTTCAGTTAGGGCTAGCGCAGACAGACAAGCGTTCAGCTTTCAAGCCGCGTTCGTCCGGTCAGTTCCTCTTACGAGTTACATAGACAGGAGGTAGTCACGAACACTGCATTCACTTTTACGAAGATTAGTTGTAGGTGGAACATGTATTTCGTCAGTCCGCCTTTAGAAGCCGAGGCATTACTTTTGTGGAGTTTCGAAGAGTCTAATAAGAAAAAAAGATACTGAGTGCATCCGATTAATTGCGAGAGAGATGAAAAAGGAGAATTCAGTGCTCTTTTGCCTGCATTGCTTGAAGATGAAGAACGATTCTATTTACTTCCGAATGTCATTAAGTAGTTTTAATGAATTGCGTGATTATTCAGGGTGACGGGAAAATAGATGCAGAGTCGGTGGGGGGAGATAGTACAAGCCAATCTGAGTCGATTTTACTATAAGAACTACTGCCCGAAAATTAACCGTTTTCGAATTATATTAATTTTTAAGATTTTGTAAAATTAACGTCCGTTATACGTTAACAAAGTCATAAAACTTAAAAAAATCAAATGAAACACCCAATTTTCAAGTTTTATGACTTGGTTAACGAATAAAGGACGTTAATTTTATATGATCTTAAAAAATAGTATAATTCGAAAACGGCTAATTTTCGGACAGTAGTTCCTATACTAAAATCGACTCAGATTGGCTTGTACTATCTCCCCCCGCCGGCTCCGCATCTATTTTCCCGTCACCCTGTATAAAAAAGGAAATAGAGAAATAGGACACTTTAGAAATGGTATATCTACAAAAGAAAGATTGGCTGTTCTTTTTCATTTTCGTGGCTATTTCAAGCCATGCTGCAATTTTTTAAAACTATTTTTATAGTCTGCGTTGCTAATATCACATAAAAAACTCATTTCCCTTACTAAATCAATTAGTTTTTCTATCGAAGTCATCTTGCGTTCCACGAGTTCTTTGTATTTCTGACAATACAACCGTTCACACTGACTGGCGCGGTCTGACTGACGCTGTGTCAGCGCGACTCTATAGAGATAGGTGTATTACTTACAAAGAACGTGTAACGCAGAACGCGGAACTCGGAACGCTTTCTGCCTACGCGAGCCCTAACTGTAGTCGGGTTGTTTGTTTTTTTCAAAAATGTACTTGTGTTCAACAAGATCATGCAAAAACTGGTTCCGAAGATTTTGATGCGAAGACACTTCCTGGATTACTTGCATTATCAGTAGTGCGCCTTGTCTTCAGTCATCCTCGGGTCGTTGTCGAGCGGTACTCCCAGATACTCATTCAGATTTATTCTGATATTCTGTCATATTGCTATTGTGTCTTAAACTTAGTTCTTGTTTCTGTGAGATTTATATTTTATTTAACGCTATGCATTGTTCTAGCTAAACGGGGACGATGAGTGGCAGTATGAAGAGATCGCCCTCGAACGCGGTGGCGCCGGGCTCGGCTTCAGTATCGCGGGCGGCACTGACAACCCTGCGCATGCGGCCGGTGTCGGTGACGCAGGCGCAGTGGCCGACCCGGCCGTCTACGTCACCAAGATCATACCAGGTGGCGCTGCGGCCGCTGACGGCCGATTGAAGGTACACGATTGCATCGCGGCCGTTAATGGTACGCCACTGAACGAGGTGACGCATGCTGAGGCTGTGGAGGCGTTGAAACGGGCAGGAAACACTGTCAAATTGGTGAGTACAGATAAACTGAGCAAAATGTATTTGCTTTTAAGTTAAAATGATGTTTTTAAAATAGTGCATAAGATAGATTTTATTGCTAGTTGCTGGCCACATAAGGCCGATTGCCAAGGAACAACTGAAAGAGGCAACAAAACCTGATATACCTATTCTTATTTTGTTATGTGATTGCTTTTAGAACAAAACCAACATAGGTGAACGGAGATAAGATAACTGGTAAATAGTTTAAATAAATGAACAACGATTGCAAACAGGAGCGAATGACTCGAATACGATTAGCTGTGAGCTGTTTGTTTATGGAACAAAGATGACTAGAGTGGAATGTGGAACCTACATTTGATTGAGAAAGGGTACTCTGATAATGTCCAAATAACATAAGCTGTTCGTAAGTGTTTATCCACGATCTTGCAGACAACATTATCGAGTCCGTTCGTTCCTTATCAACACTACAGGAAGCTTCAGTTACTCTATGCCTGGGCGTGTATTTTGCCTGCAGTTATGATCGCTGTAATAAGGGCGCGTTTTCTCGTTTACCTGATGCGTATACTATACATACCACATCAGGTGGATTGGGTGGTTGTTGAATCGTATTCGTGTTGTTTTTGGCCAGATCCACGAACTGTTTGCCCACAAATGCTTGCGATTTTGATGGATTGATACACACACGTCTCAAGATACCCAAATAGTACGCCTCGTTGACAGTCTGACCTTCTGGCAGGAATTCAATATTCACCAGGCCGTAGTAATCCATGAAAACCGTGAGCATTACCTTCTTTTTCGACTGGAAACGATGTCGTTTCTTCGGTCTCAACTCATTCGACGCGCGCCATTGACCCGTCTGATGTCTTGACTGCGTGTCGTACTCATAAACCCACGTCTCGTCTCCAGTAATGATGCGTTTAATAAATGTTTGGCCAGAATCAGCCATAGAAATCATGTCTTTGGCAATATCAACACGGTCATTTTTTGCATGAAATTCAACTCTTTCGGCACCAACTTGGCTGCAACATGACGGAGACCCAAATCGTGAACCAAAGTGCTTTGGATGGATCCATTTGCAATACTCAGGTCCTCTGCCATCTCTCTGACAGTTAATTTGCGGTTGGTGGTCAACATTTTTTTCACTTTGCCAACGTTTTCTTCTGTTTTCGATGTCGATGGCCTGTCGCTGCGCTCATCATCGGCGATGGACTGACGACCTTCTGTGACCCGTTTAAAACGGCTGTTTTCTTCAAAGCATCGTCGCCGAAGCATTTGTTGATATTGTTTTTAATACAAAATTTAATGAAGACGCATTGTTGTTCATTCAAATCCATTGTAAAAGTCCTAATAAATCGTGAACATGCTCAAAAGCACATGTACTCAACTCGGCGTAGCTTTAACAACTGATCATGAAATGACGCCAAAATATGGAGGGAATATCAGTGAAAGTTGGACACCATAATAAGACAAACAGAATTGACAGCCGAGTGCTACGAGCACCACACGGCGATCATTCCGGGAACTTTTTATCAAGGTAATATATCAAGATTAGTTTTCTAGATTGTATCAATTCTGGTTTATAGTGAAAAAATCTTTACAACAATTTTGAGTATACATATACATAAACAAATCTGGAAACCTGATGGTTACATTTTTTTTGCTTGAGGCACAATGCAGGCCTATGGCCTAAATACCCTTGGGGGCTATAGGGGGATACAGTCAAACGAAGGACGTCTTAGAGATCCGTTGTATGGACCGTCTAGCACTACGACGTTAAATGTTACAGAGAGACTTTATAGAGGGGATGACAGCTTTCCAAAACTATGAACGGTCGATATAGCAGATATTTAGTTACCATCCATTTTATTTCTTAAATAACAGATGGGTTGGCGCCAAGTTACGTTTTCGGTCGGTAGATGGCTCGACCACTACCAGTTTCGTTATTTTTTTATCAAAATTATACACTATTGGGTAGAATAACCCTTTCGCCTTTCGCTACACTGAGCTCGGAAAAGTGACGTCACACGTCACGTATTGACGAAACGAAACATTTCTGCGGGACACGTCTTTCAAACTATATGTTTTTTTTTTCGTTTTAGCGATACATTGACAACTCTTTGACACCCTTGTTTCATTTTTCTTTAATTTTCGTTTGAACTGTAAAAAAAACGATGGTGAACTTCTCCACTGAAATAAGAATTAAAATTTGCTACACATTTACAGAGCTATATTGAAAAGCCGATTTGCTTCTATAATTATTATTATACAAAATTTAACATGAAAAATAATTATTCCGTGAAACTTTAAAGTAAAAATCCCTGTTAAAAACAAACTACTATGTACACCATTTTTTATAGAGTGGAATGATTTACAGAACTAAAGTCAACTCCGTCGCATAATTATGATGTGAATTATTAAAAAAAAATCAAAAATCAGTAGATAGTCATAAAGTCTGATGGTGGTTATAAGACGAGTGTCAATACTGTCAATAATTGAAGATCACCATAAAATAGTAGCATTGCAACACCACATATACAACTGGGTTTCCTGTTATCGTAGGTTTGTCTTATATCATTGAATATTTGACAATATACACTGGTACTAACTGACAGGTTAACAAGTAATTCCAAGTATACTTTATCTGAAGTCACTTGAAACACTGTGAAATACCGGGTGCGTTTTATATATCTATATTTAACACGCTCTGTTGCTGCAAAAATCGCCAAATTTCGCAGCAAATATCCCCCGTATAAGATCAAAGGCAGTTTCACCGGTCCACGTGGAGTAAAGCACGCCTATGCGTGGACATAGCCAATGAGAAAGCGTGTATGTCAGAGCTCGGAACAACTGCAGGTGGCTACTGAAAATTGAAACAGTTTAGCCAGTGCCGTGTAGCGGTGAATAAACGTGTTTTCTTTAGTCTGTCCGTGTTTTTTCATAGATTTTATTAGTTTGTGTGTTTTTGACTTTTGAATACTCAGTTTACTTGTTGATTTAATTGTTGTGTTGATTGTTCTTGTGTGTCCTAAATATGGCTCTTTGGAGACCTTGGGAAAATGCTCCAAGCCACGAGGAGGAGATGGTTGATGAACCTGTGCAGGCAGAATTCTTTCATAAAGATTTAGAGGAACAGACCCAAAGAGCAATCCTAAATATGTATGATTGTCTGAAAAACCAAAATCCAGATTCCTGGCAAAATCAAATTTTAAACAGAATTTGTATCCTGACAAAAATCAGTCGCTCTACCATTTATCGGGTTATAAAAAGGGGAGATGTAGTCAACCATTCCTTCCACAGAAAGCGCATAGGGCAAAAATTAAAAAGAATAGACGTGGGTTTTCAGGAAGATATTCGTCTTATAATATACGGATTTTATAAAGAAAATTTGGTGCCCACGTTGGAAATGATACGGGATAAATTAAAAGATTATCCTGAAGATTTTTATAATTAGAAATGCTTAGACTCACTGCACTGTATTGTAAAACTGTGTGGTTTTCAATACAAAAAATTAGATAAAAGAATGGTGATTATGGAGTCGTCTCGAATCGTTGAATTGCGCCAAGAATTTTTGCACAAAGTTAAAATCTATAGAGAGCAGAAAAGAAATCTGATTTACCTGGATGAAACGTGGTTTGATACCCATGATGTTGTGCAGTACGGCTGGGTTGACGACAGCAACAAGTGCATTTTAAATGCACCATGCAACCGTGGAAAACGAATCATTATTCTCCATGCTGGCAGTGAAAATGGATTTATACCTAATGCCTTGCTGTTATCTGCCAAAAATATCAAAGAATCATGCGCCGACTATCATGAGGACATGACCTCTGACTTATTTGAAAAGTGGATAGAGCAGCAGTTAATACCAAACATTTCCCCAAATTCAGTGATTATTATGGACAATGCGCCATACCATTCCCGACAGAAAAACAAAATTCCGAATACAGGCACAAAAAAACAAGACATTATTGGTTTTATGAAGGATAAGGGAATGGAAATACCACAAAAATCAACCAAAGCCATATTATTGGATCTTATTAAAAGACAAAAATTTGAAAAAGAGTATGTTGTTGACAATCTGTTTCAGCAAAATGGCCATGAAGTATTACGTCTACCTCCCTATTACTGCATTTTTAACCCGATTGAGTTGGTCTGGGCTGCTTTAAAAAAAAGTAAGAAAACATAATCAGACCCCTCAATTACGTGAATCGCTATTGGCCACAATAAGAGATGCAGTATCTCATATTGCTGCCACAGACCTATGGAAGCAGTGTTCTACGCATATTATTGAAAAAGAAAATGAATATTGTGTTTTGCCTCCTGTGAATCCGCACGCCTATGATACGTCATGAAATTACAAAGGGCGCGCCGACCAAAGGTTTTTATGCTATTTCAAGTGACTTCAGATGTACCATACCTAATTGTTGAAACCAAAGTTGTATGGATCGAGAACCACTAGTCATATGCATATGTAAGTACCTCTTAGCACCTTTTGAAAGGTGTCTCAACAGAAAAACTTCACGTAAGTACTGATATCAAAACCTTCTGGCTCCTGCCAAATCTTCGGCATTTTTGGCCAAAGGCTGAATGTGGCCGTCGCGTCGGTTTAATCCTAGACATCTACTGTTACTGTATTTTGCTTTTTGTATACGGTGTATATTGAAGGAAGCACATTCACCTTTTATTTAACAAGAACACGCGAGCATTCACCAATTCCTCGGCGACTATGCGGAATCTTACGAATTAAAATCATTTTTCCAATATTGATTGGAAATGTTATTCTACAGAAATATTTCAATTTAGTGTCACCTGGCATTTTACTGTCAATGTGTAGGTGTTACGTTGAAATCAAACAATTCGATTGTTGACTTTGACTGATTTAATATGGCTCCTGGAACTTGTTCGTTGGTCTTTTATGTTCACAAGACTCCATTATTTGACCGAATCAAACGTTTTGCATCGTTTCGGATACCACGGAAGACAGACAAAAATATACTGTCATTAATTGTTTT